CACCCGCAATCCTAGCTGTCGACACTTCCAGTAAAGCCGTCGGTTATCTCCTCGCTCAATGCGACCCCCAAAATCTTTCCCGCCGCTATTATGCGCGCTTTGGTTCGTTAACTCTCAACGACCGGGAGAGCCGCTTCTCTCAACCTAAACTTGAACTCTACGGCCTTTTCCGGGCTCTACGCTCGTGGAAGCTTTACCTCATTGGAGTCCGCAACCTTGTGGTTGAAGTTGACGCCCGCTACATCAAGGGCATGCTCGCAAATCCAGACCTTGCACCCAGCGCCAGCATAAACCGTTGGATTTTAGCCATCCTCACATTCCATTTCACCCTTGTACATGTTCCAGGCGTACAACACGGTCCTGATGGACTTTCACGCCGCCCACCTCAACCTGGAGACGTACCCGAGCCCGAGGACGATTTCGAAGACTGGATTGATCAAGTGCACGGTTTTATGCATATGATCAACAACTCGCCATATATTCCCCGATGCCAGTACACCATTTCGACGCTTGCTGCTGAGATTGCACCTGATGGACAGGACCCTCCTCCCTCTCTCTCCTACGACATTGTTCCTCGCTCCGACGCTGCTCGGCTCGCCGACACTCGTGTCGATTTGGTTCGCATTTGGCTCAATAATTTGCAGCGTCCCCGCGACATGTCTGATGAGCAGTATACGACTTTCACCCGCTATTGCATGGAGTTTTACCTTGCAGACGGCCAGCTCTGGCGCAAGGACCCCGCATCTCGCCACAAGCTCGTTGTACCAACGCACCGCCGCTTGTTCATTCTCCGCTCTGCTCATGACGACGTCGGTCACAGAGGCTTTTATGCCACTCGTGCTCTCATATCAGAGCGTTTTTGGTGGCCTTACTTGGCGCACGATATCACTTGGCTAATTCGCACTTGCCATCTCTGTCAGATTCGCCAGACGCAGAAAGTTTTAATCCCTCCTACCGTTGCTACCCCCGCTCCACTCTTCTCCAAAGTTTATATCGACACCATGCACATGCCCACGAGCGGCGGCTTCAAATACATCGTTCACGGCCGCTGTTCTCTCATCAGTTACCCCGAATTCCGGATGCTTCGCCGCGAAGCTGCCCAAAGCATCGGCGACTGGATTTTCCAAGACCTGATTTGCCGTTGGGGCACGCTTGTCGAGATTGTCACTGACAATGGCCCCCCCTTCCTGAAAGCACTCGCCTATCTTTCGAAGAAGTACCATATCAACCACGTTCGTATTTCTGGCTACAATTCCCGCGGAAACGGCCTCATCGAGCGTCCGCATTTTGACGTCCGTGAAGGTCTATTTAAGGCCGTCGATGGAGATCAGAGTCGGTGGCACAATGGAGCATATTCAGTATTTTGGGCAGATCGTGTTACAGTACGCAGACGCATGGGCTGCTCACCTTATTTCGCCGCCACTGGTACACATCCGCTGCTACCGCTCGACATCAGCGAAGCCACATACCTCCTTCCTCCACCCGATTCTACCCTCTCCACCACCGATCTCATCGTTCGACGTGCTATCGCCCTCCAGAAACGCCGTGATCATCTTGCCAATCTCCATTCAACTGTTTATGAAGCACGTCTCCGCCACGCTGCTCGCTTCGAGCTCGAGCACGCCGCCACAATTCGCGATTATGACTTTAAGCGCGGCGACCTCGTCCTCATGCGCAATACGGCTATCGAGAAGTCCCTCAGCAAGAAAATGCGGAAGCGTTACCTTGGCCCACTCATCGTTATTTCACGCAACCGCGGTGGCGCTTACATCCTATGCGAACTCGACGGCTCCGTCTTCCAGCGGCCCATTGCAGCATTTCGTATTATACCCTATTTCGCTCGCACTTCCATCCCTCTTCCCCCGCTCGACGATTTCATTGACATTTCTACCGGCCGCCTTCGCGAATTAGAACAATCTACACTCGCAGATCCCGAGGATCTTGATTCAGAACCCTCAGACTTTTCCTCACCTATTCCCCCTCCTACAAACGAATTTTAATTCCTCTACCTTCAGCATTTCAGTCCGGAGGACGCGTCAAACCCCCATAATTTTTTCCATCACTATCGTCGCATACCGCGTTCATTTATCGCCGCTTGCGCAGTTCAACTTCGGTTGAATTTGGGCTATGATGATCTACTGAGCCCTTCATCTTCCTCATTTTTCCTGTTCCCATTTGCATTGCGACTCGACCAGTGACTAGGGACAGTCACAATTTCAGTCCGGAGGAGATGACGCGCATGCCTGCGCGCTGAGCCCGTGGACCAACAAAGTTGAACCATCAGCTTAGTCAGCATCGTTCAAATACCATCCAAACTTGTTCCTCTCCCCGATTCACTTCCGGCGGTCCCGAATAGCGGCAGAACGGCCACGGCTAGACGGAACAACGGTAAAACGGAAATGAACTAAATTATCGGGCGAGGAACTCGCCGACCACAGCTCGACAGTGTTCCTGAAGTTATGTACCTTTTTTTATTGTCTTCTCCTTTTTCATTTATCCATAATCTACTTCCCCTTTCCACTCACATCGTATAAATACAGTAGTATTTTGCGAATACAACTCACTTTGGATTTCCCCCGTAGTCACACTTTAAGTTTCACATCTTTCTCGCACTCACTCGTCGATCACCACCTACGCCTACGATCCGTCTACGCCTCCGCTTCGCCTCCACTTCGCCTCCGTCTCGATCGGCCACCGTTCCCAGCCCGCGTTATATTATTCGGCCGCCAGTTATCAGTCACGGCACCAGATCTATAATTGGAACACTCGCACAATTAGTTCCTTCCCTCCCTCCTTGTGCCGCTCACCTATATTTAGGGTTAGCTCGCGCTTAGACGGTCGGTTGGCGCGTCAGCGGTTTTGATATATCATCGCTCTCCGATGATTAGAGGAGACTGATATATCAGCCCCCCAGACTAAGGTGTCGATCCGGGCCTGAGCCATAAGGTCGCAGAATTGGTATTTTTATTTTTATTTGTTTTTATAGCTGCCGCCCACTGCCGCCTGCGCGTCGTACTGTACTATTTCGACCGTAGGTTCACACCATGTCACCCGTCACCTTACATGTTCATTGGGTTAGATGTTCGTTCCTCGGCAATCACATCAAAATTGCCATAAATGGTAATCCGGCAAGTGCCGGAGGATAATTTTTTGGATTTTTACGCCTATCTGGGCCACAAAAGTTCGCCGTCACCGTCACTGGTAACAAATAGGTTCAGTTCACGACCCTTCGTCACCCGTCACCTGAACCTACGGTCGAAATAGTACAGTACGTGCGGTCGTGATGAAATCCTACCGCGCTCCTCCGGTTCGAGTGAGCGCTCACAATAATCACAGCCATGTTTCTCTCTTTCTTTCCTTTCTTCTCTTGTTTAAATATATGAACCCCAACTCGCAAATATTCACATCAAGCGTGTATCCAAAGCAAGGAAGGCTCGGTGGTGGATGGTCCACACCTGCATTCTTTGGTTTATTTCATTTGTAGTTACGCAGGAGGAGCCCGTTCGATTCGGGCGTGAGCCACTGAGCAAAGCAAGTTTCTTCTTTTCTTTTTTGGTTGCCGCCTGCGCAGTGTAGAACCCATGCGGTCATGGGGAAATTCCACCGTGCTCATCCAGTTCAAGTGAGCACTCACAACAATTACTACCATGTTTCTCTCTTCCTCCTTCTTCTTTTATAAACCACAACTCAAAAGGGAATTAGTATCCACACCAATCAAGCATTTATTCAAAGCGAGGAAGGTTCAGTGGTGGATGGTCCACACCTGGATTTCTTGGCACTGTTCAGAGACTGTTTACGCAGGACGCACCCGTTCGATTCGGGCCTGGGCCATTCGTATATGACACTGAACCTTTTTTCACCGGCAAGACAATGGCGCGTACGTCAAGCCTGGCTTGAGAGACAAAAAAGCTCTGTCAGGTAGGTGTACATCTATTTCCTCGAGCCCCACAGTCATTATGGACCGGAGGAGCTCGTTCGACTAGGGGTTTTCCCGTAAGTTCTTGTTAGATCATGAAAGGATATTTCTAAACCAATCAAGTGTGCATCCAAAGCAAGCAAGGCTCGGTGGTGAATGGTCCATACCTGCATTCCTTGGCGAATTTCATTTTCATTTATGCAGGAGGAGCCCGTTCGATTCGGCCCCGAGCCATTCATCCTCAGGGGACTTTTTTTTTCTCAGCTGTCGCCTGCGGAATTCAAGACCAGGTGTGCGGTCGTGCTGCAATTCCACCCTGCTCCTCCCGTTCGAGCGATCACTCACAGCAATCACAGTGGTGTTTCTCTTTTTTAATTTTTTTTTTATGAACCGTAGCTCAAAAGGAAGAAATTAGTATCTACACTTATCAAGATTGTATCCAAGTCAAGGAAGACTCAGTGGTGGATGGTCCATATCTGTATTTCTTGATTCATGATCAAGGATTTACGCAGGCAGGAGGAGCTCATTCGATTCGGGTCCGAGCCGTTCGTTCAAGGAAGTGAGTTTATTTTATTTTACCTCAACTGCCGCCTGCGCGTCGTAGAACCCACAATTCCGCCATGCTCCTCGGGTCCGAGTGAGCGCTCACAACAATCACAGCGATGTTTCTCTCTGTTTATTTATTTTTATGAACCCCAACTGAAAAGGAAATAAATATCTACACCAATAAAGCTTGTTTCCAAAGCAAGGAAGGCTCGGTGGTGGATGGTCCACACTGCCATTCCTTGAATTTCTCGCCGGTGGATTTACGCAGGAGGAGCCCGTTCGATTCAGGCCCGAGCCATAAAATTTTGTTCAGGCGATTTTCTTTTCTCTTTTCTTAGCTTGCCTGCACATTCAAGTTGTAACTTAGAACCGGTGTGTGGTGGTGATACAATTCCACCCCGCTCCCCAGTGAGCACACCACCTGGATCACAACAACCACAGCTAGGTTTCTCTCGTCTTCTTTTTATTAATTTTATGAACCCCAACTCAAAAGGAAATTGGTATCTACACTAATTAAGCTTGTATCCGAGGTAAGGAAGGCTCGGTGGTGGATGATCCACACCTGCATTCCTTGATTCATTTCATTTGTGGTTACGCAGGAGGAGCCCGTTCGATTCGGGCCTGAGCCATGGTCGTTAATGTATGTCCTTTTTTTAGCTGCCGCCTGCGCATTGTAGAACCCACAATCCCACCGTGCTCCTCGGGTTCGAGTGAGCGCTCATAACAATCACAGCGATGTTTCTCTCTTCTTTTTATTTATTTTTATGAACCGTAACTCAAAGGGTATTAGGATCTCTACACTAATCAAGCATTCATCCAAAGCAAGGAAAAGGCTCGGTGGTGGATGGTCCACACCTGCATTCCTTGTACATTCATGATGTATGAGAATTACGCAGGAGGAACCCGTTCGATTCGGGCCTGAGCCATTGTCGATAGGGCTTTGCTTTTTTTGGCTGCCGCCTGCACAATTTAAAACCAGGCGTGCGATCTTAATACAAGCCCACCCCTGCTCATCCGGTTCAGGTGAGCGCTCAACGATCACAGCGATGTCTCCCTTTCTTTTGTTTAAATTTATGAACCCCAACTCCAATATATTCACACCAATCAAGCTTATATCTATAGCAAAGAAGGCTCGATGCTGGATGGTACCATGTTTGCTTTCAGTAGTACTGCACAGGCTAGGCAAATTAAGTAGGAGGAACCCGTTCGATTCGGGTCCGAGCCATATGGTCACGCCATTTTCCCCTCCTTTTATCTGTCGCCCACTGCCGACTGCGTGTTGTAGAACCCGTGCGGTCATCAAATAATTCCACCATGCTCGTCCAGTTGGATCACAACAATTACAGCGATGTTTCTCTTTTTCATTTATGAACCACAACACAAAAGGAAATTGATATTTGCATCAATCAAGCTTGCATCCAAGTCAAGGAAGGCTCTGTGGTGGATGGTCCACACCTGCATTCCTTGATTCATTTTTGGCGAATTACGCAGGAGGCGCCCGTTCGATTCGGCCCGAGCCATGTTCAATTCTTCTTCCCTTTTTTTTTAGCTGACGCCTGCGATATTTAAAAGTAAGCGTGCCGTCGTGGGGCAATTCCATCGCGCTCCTCCGGTTCGAGTGAACGCTCACAAAACTCAGGCAATCCTCCTCCTCCTCACGGTTCTTCCTCTTCTCTTTTAATGAACCACAACTCAAAAGGGTATTAGTATCTACACCAATCAAGCTTGTATCCAATTCAAGGAAGGCTCGGTGGTGGATGGTTCACATCTGCAGTGAATCATCCTGCAGTGAGTCATTGACGCAGGAGGAGCCCGTTCGATTCGGGTCCCAGCCGTTCGTTGGGTTCACTATGCTTTTTTAGCTGCGTAGAACCCGATGTGCCGTCGTGATGCAATTCCACCGTGCTTATCCGGTTCAAGTGAGCTTGGAGTGAGCACACCACCTGGATCACACCAATTACTACTTTCTTTCTCTCTTTTTATTTATTTATTTATTTTTATGAACCACAACGCAAAAGGACATTAGTATCTGCACCAATCAAGCGTGCATTCAAAGCGAGGAAGGCTCGGTGGTGGATGGTCCACACCTGCATTCCTTGGTTCATGAGGTAGGAGAATTGCGCATGAAGAGCCCGTTCGATTCGGGCCCGAGCCATTCGTTAACAGGATACGTTCTTTTTAGCTGCCGCCTACACATACCGGCGATGCAATTCCACCGATTCGAGAGAAAGCTCCACCTGAATCACAGCCAGGTTTTTCTCTTTCTTTCCTTTCTTCTCTGGTTTAAATTTATGAACCACAACTCAAAAATATTCACACGCGACCAAAGTAAGGAAAAGGCTCGGTGGTGGATGGTCCACACCTGCATTTCGTGATTCATCCTCCGCAGTGAGTCATTGACGCAGGAGGTGCCCTTTCGATTCGGGCCTGAGCCATTCATTGGTACACATGACTCTTTTTTTCATCTGCCGAAACAATGGTGCTAATATAAATCAAGGCTGGCTTGAGAGAAGGAAAGGCTCTATTAGGGAGGTGCACATAAAATACTGCATAAAGTAAGGGGACCGGATCGGTGGCGCCTACTTTCAGCCATACAAGGTCCCTGATTCCGGCCCATTTTTTGGTTCTGCTAAGATGAACGTGACTTCAAGTTGAACCACTGGGAAGGACATGCGGTACAGGTCGAGGCTGAATTGAACGCAGCAAGGCTCGGTGGTGGATAGTACTACGCCTGCTTTCAGTAGTTCAATGCGTACGAAAGATTAAGCAGGAGAAGCCCGTTCGATTCGGGCCTGAGCCATTCACCGACGAGAGAGAAGTTTTTCTTTTTCTTTCTATCGGCCTAAACATCGGGCCTAAAGCAAGGCCTCGGTCAAGGACGGTATGATGTGATGTACACATCTATTTCCTGGAGCCCCGCAGTCATTATGGACCGGAGGAGCTCGTTCGACTAGTGGTTTTTCGTTTTCTTGTTAGACCCTGGCGAAAATAAATTCTGTGTAAATCAAGGTTGTATTGAGGATGAACGGATCGGTGATGCACGAACCCTCGCCTAAGGTCCGCAAAAATGTAAGCACCTTGCTGTTGATTGTGTTTCCCAGGAACGCGCGTAATAGGACTAATGCATTACTCAACAGCACCCCTGGTTCCCCCTCCTGCCAGTCGCCCGTCGCCAAGTGTCCTGCCCGGAGCCCTGACCCTGCAACTTTATAGATTTCGGCGCACGCACGGACCTCATAAATATTTGTGCTCGATCACGGGGGAGAAAATTTGGGCTTCTGGTGAGTGCGAGACACCGGTTTGCCGCTTCGTTCGGACTACTGCTAGCTCCATCAAGTAGTTCTAATTCTAATGAATTTGACGCATCTCCAAGCGACTCAAGTCCATTTGGCTTTGAATGAACTTACCTCCAATTGAAATTGAACTCGGAGATCGCTGCGACTTCGAAACACCTTAAAATCGCGTCGTTTGCAAGCAGAGTCAAAAACACACCTCAAGAGACGGCGGCCGTTGCAATTCTGATGGATTTAACGCGTCTACGAGTCCAATGAGCGAATTTCGATGAGTGCTTGAAGTGAACTTGCCGCGGAGTCTTTAGGGTAAGGTTAGCGCAGAAATGAGACATATATACACAGAAACGTCACCTTTTCCAAATAAGTAGATCGCGCCGCCGGACTTGTTGAGATTGATCGCAGTCTTGAGTCAACGGCGCTGAATAACTGGGGTAAAATTAATGCGAAAATGGCAAGGATCAGCATGGCCGACCTCTTTGAACTGCGCCGCGCAGCGGAGGAAAAATCGGATTCTTGTAAGAGTTGTCAAAGTGGATGTTGTCGGAATCAAGCACCACGCAGGGGAGAAATTTTTGAACTTTGACGGCTGGGAAAACGCGTCAAAATCGCGTTCATTGCGAGTAGAGTTAAGACGCACCTCTGTGGAGAGAATTCGAAGTTTGAACCTATAAAAAGACTAAGATCGCGCGATGGGTGCCACGGAGAAAATCCGATTTCATCGTTCGACACGACCACGAAACCGAGTAGCGCGCCGGGACACGAGTGCGATTGCATGGTAAGCAAGCAATATTACATCGAGTTTTCGATCCAGGGCACTGATTAGCGTTGGCGGTGTGCAGATGCGGAGAGCGGGTGCGCCGCGTTGCAGGGCGGGTACGGCGCGTTTGAGCGGGCGGGTACAACGCGTTTGAGGGCGGGCGGGCACGGCACGGTGACGAGCGGGAAAGGTGGTACGGGTATGGCGCTTGGGCTCGTAACTCGCGCTTGTAGCTCGTAGCTGTAGACAGCGTCGTGAGTCGTAGCCGTAGACGTAGATAGTGTCTTGACTCTTGAGTAGTGCGGCCGAGCAGATAGGCCGAGTTTGCAAGTGAGCTGCCGTGGATAGCTTCTTGGCAGCGTAGGCCGCGGTAGCATGGCGTCTTGTGCGCGGCGCCGAGTCTGTGATTGAGTCGGCGTAGATAGCTTCTAGGTATACCGCCTTAGTTGGGCGTGTAGTCTAACCGTGCGCGCCACCGAGTTTTAGCCGCAGATGCGTGTAGTGTCTTGGGAAAGGGTAGTCGGTTGTAGTGGCGCGCAGCGTAGCCGCACACGCCGTGCGAGGCGCGGATTCGCGGCTGCGTGGCGTGCGCGGCTTCGACGTGGGCCACCAGGTGGACGCGGGCGGTGCGTGGAGGCATTGAGCAAGCACTAAGGCGGTGAAAGTGAGTGCAAGCCATAAGCGAGGAACTGCGACGCACCGAAGCCGCAGACGTAGATAGTGTCTTTAGTGGACAGCGTACTGGCGCGCAGTTGAGCGTATGAGCGTATAATCTAGCCATGCGCCGAGTTTTAGGCGTACATGCGTGTAGTGTCTTGGGAAAGGGTAGTCGAACGTAGTGGCGCGACGCGTAGCCGCACACGCCGTGCGAAGCGCGGATTCGCGGCTGCGTGACGTGCGCGGCTTCGACGCGCAGCGGCGGGCGGACCACAGTGAACGCAGGCGGCAAGGCGGTACGGAATTATGCTGTTAATGTGAGTGTGAGCGCAAGTCATGAGCGAGGAACTGCGACGCACGCCCAGCGCCTCCGTCTCACGCAATAAGGTGAGGCCGTCATCGTTGGAGAGGATGACCGGCGGGGGTGAGGGTGCAAGGACGGGTGATGCAAGGCGAGAGGTGGGCGGGACCATGACGGCGTTGGGCAGGAGTCAGGACGGGCTGTGTGAGGCGCTGCGGGGAAGTGGCCGCGTGTGCAAGAGCGAGAGGTAGGAGAGCGAGCGCGGGATGAGGAGCGCGTGGAGGAGGGGCTTGAGGGTCTGAGGGTTTGTTGTTGTTGTTAGTATATGCCGGGAAGGGAGTTAGAGGCGGGGGAAGGGTAGATGGGCGGGGTGTTCGGGAGGAAGGAACGGGAAAGAGGAGGGTGAAGAATTAGAAGGGGATAGGAAAGAATGTCAGCGGGGTGGGGAGATGGGGATAACAACGAAAGTCAAGAGGGTCCTGGGTGCGTTATGCATAGGGTAGAGCAGCGTATCTGGGGTGGTCGTACGCCGACGCATGCGCATGATGGGAGATCTATCAAGGCATCGTGGACGGTGGATGTGCGCATGGCGCAGGAGTAGACACGAAAAAAGCCCGCAAGGGTGGCAAGAAAACGGGGCTCACCAAGTCGTCGAGATCGCACTCGCGGAACACGGCTTTGCGCAGGCCCCACTCGATGCTGAGCACATCCGCCAGAATCGATGCGCTCGCAAACGTCAGCTGCACCCCAGAAAAGTCCACACTGCGAGGATGCGTCGGTGGTGTCGCCTGTCCATCGGATGAGTGCCTCGCTCTCCAAGCAAGAAAAAAGGCAAAAAAAAAGTACCTTGAATGCAGCGGTGATGCCCTTATCGGGGACCTCCTGGCAGCCCTCGCAGCACTCGCGGTAGAAGCTCTCGACCTTGTCCATCGCCCACCACGTCTCCGCGTCCTCGACGCTGCCCGTGCTCGCCGTCAGGACGCTCGCGCTGTCCGTACTCGTCCCGGTACTCCCTGCTCGCACGACGCGGCGGCGGCGCTCCCGCTCCCGCTCTTCGATTGCCCGCTTCTCGTCGCGTAGCGTCGGCGTCGACGGTGGCGCGAGCGACGAGATCGGGTACACCACCGCCATCTCCGGCAGGATAAAGTGCGCCCGCTTCAGCACGCGGGCCGACTCGTCCTTCTCCTTGTCCTTCCCACTCCCGCTGCCCCCATCCTTCCCATCCTTCAGTCCAGCAGCAGCGCTCGAGGCGCCAGCAGTTTCCTGCCCCGGGAGGAAGCGGCTGAGGCTGAGGCGCGAGAAGAGCGAGGCCTGCGCGGGCGGCGGTTTTTTTAGGATAGACTTGCCCGGTATCGGGATCGTCACGGCCGAGGATGACGGCGACGGCGACGACGGGCCCAGCGACGGCGAGTGCAGCGACATCACCAACAGACCATTAAGGAGGAGAACTTGTTTGGTTGGAACCTTCAAAACAAACACCGGCCCGTGCGTGGCGTCCATCAATTGGCTGCAACGGCTCTCTTGGCCGTTTCCAGACAGCTTCCACCCCACAGATTCCGTCATGCTATGCCTGGACCACTCTGCTGAACCGCAAAATACTGCCCGCAGATCACCGCTCCGTCTCCTCCGGCAACCGGATCTTGTTCTCGTTCAAGTATCCGCATATGCATACCTCCATGGGCTCGCCATAAACGCCGTTCTTGATTGAAAATCGAATATTAAGTCGTGCCCAACCTTCTCTCATTATACATACACATTGAAGTTCTCCAACTCACAATACAACTCAAAATCCCCGGACACCCTCTGCTTATTTCCGACCAGACCTCCCAATAACCTCGGAGTCAGACCAGTAAACAACCAACTCGTGTCCAGACCAAGTGTCGCGTGGTTCATGCGGGTCACTTTTGATGTTAACCTTTCCGCTGGATTTAGTTTGACACCTCCCGGAACGCAAGGACAATTGCATAGAATGCCGGCACTGAGCTCATCATTACTGGGAGCTTGCTGGGAGCGGTATCGGGCTCATTAAATACTGTACGGCAAGGAATACAACCACTTTCGGGCGAGCGTTGATGGATTAAATGTCAACATTCCCTCTCTCTCTCTTTCTCGCCCATGTACATTATAATAATACCACAGCCAGTTCGGATATTCTTCGTGCTACCAACATAAGATCTGGTAGGACATGCGGTCGCGATGTAACCCCACCATGCTCGGTTCCAGCGAACGCTCACAACAATCACAGCGGTGTTTCTCTCTTCCTTTTTATTGATTTTATGAACCACAACCCCAAAGGATATTTCTAAACCAAGCAAGCTTGTATCTATAGCAAGGAAGGCTCGGTGGTGGATGAGCCACACCGGCATTCCTTGAAGTCGTTTCCGTGAATTTACCAGGAGGAGCCCGTTCGATTCGGGTCCGAGCCGTTCCGGTGGGTGCAGTATATTTTTTTAGCTGCGTAGAACCCGTTCGGTCGTGGGGAAATTCCACCATACTCCTCCAGTTCCAACACCCATGACAATCACAGCCATGTTTCTGTCTTCCTTCTTTTTTATGAACCACAACTCAAAAATATTCACACCAATCAAGCGTGTATCCAAGTCAAAGAAGGCTCGGTGGTGGATGGTCCACACCTGCATTCCTTACTTCTTTCTTTCGTGTGGATTTACGCAAGAGGAACCCGTTCGATTCGGGCCTGAGCCATTCGTTAATAGGGTACATTTTTTTTTAGCTGCGTAGAATGCGGCGTGCGGTGATGTGTGCTCATCCGGTCCGAGTGAGCTCACAACAAT